AAAGATAAAATAGTACGGTTATTGGCCATGTGGGGAACAAGGGTTTTTGTGATAAATTCTGATTGGGGAGGGAGGGGTGGAAGATGGGGGTAATTTTCAAGCCTTTGGCTTCCTAGTTCTAATTCATTCCAATTTTTTCAAGTTTACCAGAGACAAATTATTTATTTTCCCTTCAAAAACTATTCTGTAATTTGTATAAACTCAAATTTTTTCGGGGGGGGGGGGGTGGGGGGGGGGTAGGTTGGGTTCGGGGGGGGGGGGCAGTTTATTTAAATAACATTGGGGCACACATTTTGTTTACTCTTTCAACATTTTCAAGGACAGATTGTTTATTACAAATATTTTTTTAAAAATATTTTATAAATCAGCCCCCCCCCCCTTTTCTCCAGATTGTCAAATCAATCGGTTGTCCCCTAAGAAACCCCAGATTAAAGAAAAGTAATTTCAATGGTACAATTGTATGGAATTTGATGAACTCCGCTGGATCTTTTGGAATTTCAATTTATAATTATTGTTAATTTCAGTCAGCCGAACATTGAAGAAAAGCTGACAAGTCATGGAGGAAGAAGATCCCTCTCAAGAAAGTATTGCAGGTGTGTGAACTAAACAAAATCTATATAGAATTATTTTGAATGTTAAAATGTGTGTTTTGTTGAGGTAATGGTTCATTAAATTTTATTATTATATCATTCTGTTCTATATTTAAAAGTGATGAAGTCAGATGAGATGACAGGTTGTGTGATTTGAAGATGGACTTCTGCAACAAAGTAAACACTCCTCTACCTTTTCCATACAAAAGAAACAGCAAAGCAGAGAGATCGAAACATTTGGTAAAAGTACAAAGAAAACAGGATTAGTTAAACTTGTGAAAAATATCAAGACTATTGAAGAGCAGATTATATGTAAAAAGAAAGATCAAGACTACAATTGGTAGCTGAATCAGTAGCCTAGCCACATTAATTACTTTTTAATTAGCTATTTGTACATTTAAGGTAATCTGACTGAGTTACTAAAATTGTTATTTAACAAATATTTCAAATAAATAAAAGATTTTTGAATAACAATCAGTAGATGCTATTAAGAACCTCAATCTCCAACCCCTTTTCTTCAAATAACAATTTTTGCCCATGATCATTTTAGTAGTTTTTAAAACTCTGTTTTGTATTATTTTAAGCATTTAAATGTATTTTTTGTCTATCATTCTTGTACTTTTTTGATATTTTTGAAATACAATCCTTCATGCTGATAAAAATACAAAAACAATACATATTAATACAAAATTAATACATTCTATATTTTTTTCATACTTTTTCGTGTACTGTATTATTTTCATATTTTATATCTTTTTTGTATTTTTAATTGTTCCAGATGAAAAAATACAAAAATAATATATATGATACAAAATTAATATATTCTATATTTTTTTTGTATTTTAATTCTTAAAGGTGAAAAAATACAAAAATAATATATGCTAATACAAAATTAATACATTCTGTATTTTTTCTATACTTTTCTATGGACTGTATTATTTTTATACTTTGGAGAGGAAAATAGAGAAATAATACAAAAGTACAAAAACAATACGTTTTTACAGGTCAAGTGTATCATTTCTGTATTATTTCGAAAAAATAAAGTATATTAAAAATATATTTTTCTGTGTTTGGCTTTTAAAAAGTCTATTATTTTTGACCTAAATTGGAACCAAGATTTAGAGGGTTCCAAATTTGGTCATTAAAAATATACTTTTTTTGTATTATTTTAGTATTTTTTTCTTGTATTATTTTTGTATTCATTTTCGATATGGGTTGGTATGTTGTTGAATTATTGTTTGGTTTTTTTTTCAGAAATGGACAATACTACAGCCAGTGGAATGGACCCAGACATAGTTGCCCATAGGATACGTCAAGCAGTGGAATTTGGAGAAAATGACATTGTTCTAGCTCCTTTGCTTCATAAAATAGTGATAATCATTAGGACATTATTTCCCTCTTTATTCTTTTTGATAATGAGTCAAAGAGCTAAGTCAGGTAGAAAAGAATGTTCAAAGATGAAAACGTCTTGAATTCAGTCAGTGTGGTATATTGTATCTGTTCTTATATGTATTTAAAAGAGTAGAAACATGTCATACCATGTACTTATTTATTAATCCGTGTTATTGTGTACATTGCATGTACTTCATGGGGGAGTATCATTCCTTTGATAATTGATACTCATTTCCTCCTTAAATATGGTTAAACTTGATTGATTGCAAGTTGAGTATATTGTATAACCACCAGAGTAAATGGTAAGAAAAAAAAGTTGAAAGAATCATACTCCAGGTCATTTTAAAAGATTGCATTGAAATACAGTTACCTACATGTATAGGGGAGTAAATGTTTCACTCCAAATGAACCATAAAAGTGTGGGAAAAGGATATTTCGCAAAACTGGAGGACATTTGCATGAAAGGAAAGTGAACATTTGCATGACATGTATGAAAATTAAATATGGCAAAATGGAAATTGTGAAAAACTAAAATAGAAATGTTAATTATGAATAATTGAGTTTTCCCGCATTTTGGAGAATAGCTGGAAAACATTGTATGATAGCAACGTGTTTGAATGGTTATGTATAGTAATGCAATGCGGGTCATAGGAAGGCCAGTGTAAAGGGTCAGTATCATGAAGTTAAGGTCATTCCAAGCCAGTCTCACACAGTGCAGGGAGCAAAAAACTGTATGCCCCTGAATCTTTGATAACAGGGGCATAAAAATGCAGGTCATTTACTACAGCATTAGACATTGTTAGAAGCAAACTGATCATTTCTGAACAAATTATCTTTGCGAGGTTGATCAAAGTTAACCTGAGTGTATAAACACTGTTTTTGAAATGTAGCAAATGACAAGACAGTAGCAAGCATTCTAGTCTTCCTATGATACCAGTATATGAACCATGAACTTGTCCTCCTAGTCTTTTTTTTTTTTTTTTGAAACAGATTCCTGAGATTATTATGCCCATACATTGATACTTTGGACTGTCATCAATGGTGCATTATAAATTGAATGAGGTTCAAATTTTTATACAAACATTTTAATTCTGAAATATTATAATGATCATAAAACAAGACATGTATTGTTGTCATAAAATTGTGAAAAATTAAAATATAAATGTTAATTATGAAAATAACTACAAGAAGTTTTGGTTTATTGCAAAGGTCCATTTCCCATTTTCCCTTTGCAAAGTTCCCATTTTGCTTTAGTCCTTTTTTTTTTTTCCAGAAATACTTGGCTAAAGCAAAATGGTATGTTACAGAGGTAAACAAAAGCCTGTGTGGCACAGTGTGCTTCCTTCAACTTTAGAATCATCTATACGGCAAGAAAGAAAAGTAGTGATGGCTTTGTTGTACATTGTGTTCAGGGGACAGAGAGCCAACAGACCATCATTTACCATAGCTATGCTGGGAAGGGCAAAGATGTGACATATGCTGAAAGGTAGACTGGCTGAGAACAGTTCTTATAGGTCGTGTGAGGAAGGCACCATTTAGTAACTACAAATAAAAATTAAAAACAAATCCATACCATTATTTTAATGACAATTTGTTTCTAATGAAGTAATTTACTTAATAGAAACAGTCAACCAGTCTCTTGACCATGATTATGAATAATAATTATAAAGATGTTAAGAGAAGTAACTCATAAATAAAGAACGGTGCCAGTATGTCTGTGTCTTGTTTCTATATATACATTTTCCGCCAAAATATCTAGATGCCATAGGTAAAGAGGCAACAATAATATATAATACATAAATGATATGAATTAATTCTCCTATGGTGAAAAATTATGTAGGTCCCTTTTATCAACATTATGCATAGGAAATGCATCGAGAATTGTAAAACCATTGATTTGACGAAATCTAAAAAAGAAGGTCGGCATGGTGTGTTAAACTAAGCAGAATGTAACCATTAAACCTATACTTGAAAAATTCTATACAATATCCAGGAACCCTGCCAATGTCCTTAAAGTCTTTTAGTTTAAAAGTTAACATAGTCAAACTCCAAGGTCAAGGTCATGATCGAGGTAAAAATATTAATAGCCAAAGAAAGGTCTTGTAAGAAGGAATACAAGTGAAATAAGAAAGCCTTAGCACCAACCATAAAAAAATACAGGTCATTTACTACATCATTTGACAGCAAAGTGATCATTTCTTAACAAATTATCTTTGTGAGGTTGATCAAAGTTAAACTGAGTGTATAAACACTGTTTTTGAAATGTAGCAAATGACAAAAGACTGTAGCACGCATTCTAATATTCCTATGATATATGAACCATGAACTTGTTCTCCTTTTTGGAAAAAGATTCCTGAGATTATTATGACCATACATTTGTAATGGTTTGGGCTGTGAATATCAGCCTGGGTAGCTCAGTTGGTAGAGCACCTGACTAGTGATGCAGGGGTCCCGGGTTCCATTCCTGGTCCATCCATACATTTTCTCCTTTCCTGTTACAGATTTGGTGCCATTGACCACCCCTGGTTTGCAGGTGGAAGTCCTGCCAGCGGCAAATAAGAACTTGGGTTGTGTCTTCGAGGGCGAAGACAATTTAAGGAGGGAGGAATGTAATGGTTTGGACAGTGGATATTGGCCTGGGTAGCTCAGTCGGTAGAGCACCTGACTAGTGATGCAGGGGTCCCGGGTTCGATTCCTGGTCCATCCATACATTTTCTCCTTTCCCGTTACAGATTTGGTGCCATTGACCACCCCTGGACTTGCAGGTGAAAGTCCTGCCAGCAGCAAATAAGAACTTGGGTTGTGTCTTTGAGGTCAAAGACAATTTAATGAGGGAGAAATGTAATGGTCTGGGCTGTGGATATCGGCCTAGGTAGCTCAGTCAGTAGAGCATATGACTAGTGATGCAGGGGTCCCGGGTTCGATTCCTGGTCCATCCATACATTTTCTCCTTTCTTGTTACAGATTGACACTTTTGACTGTTCATCAATCATGATGCATTATATAAATTGAATGAGGTTCAAATTTTTATACATGTAACATTTTAATTCTGAAATATTATAATGATCATAAAACAAGACATGTGTTGTTGTCATAAATAGTACATTTTATAAACTTTGTACGCACTGAGAAATACAGCTGAGAGGGACACAATGTTCTGTAGGTATTTTCTTCGAGCATCATCCCTTCTAACAAGTACCACTACTGATGTTGACGATAATTCATGTAATGGTAGGTCTTGAATTCTCCTCTTGTTTTTCTCAATCTGATATTTACAACAAGGATCACTGGCCCAAGACAATGCATAGATTCCTGCTGTCAGAAAGCTGACTCCAGCCAAGGTATATGAAATCATATCTTTGTTACAATACCCTGTGATCAAAGAAATGACACCACTAACAACACTTGATTTGTGAAGAAAATTTCCCATTTTAATCCATCTTGCAGTGTCTTTTCCAAGTGTGAATGGTTCAATTATTATGTGTGCCACCTGTCTTTCAAAGGCTACCTCCAACTCTGTTTCTACTTTTTCTTGTTCATCAGGGTTGTCAGGGTCTGTTGTGTCATAAATAATTACAAAATCTGGGAATGATTCATTTGAGTTCCTGCAATAAGAAAATGTCCACTTTATAACAAAATAATGAGAAATTCATCTACTTTTGAAATAAAGAATTTCCATTTTTTGTTACTGTCAATAACTGCTTAATTGGTAAATAGAGATACAGTATCTAATATACTATTAGGGCTTTATCAATATATCGATACGTAACGATATTTAAGAATGTATCGTATCGAAAAATAACTTCCAATACGTATCGGACAGGCAGATTTTCTTATATAACTCTGTGAAAAAGTTTGGAATTTCAATCACCAAAGGTTATATTTTCACTGTTGTGAATTAAAATTGATCAATAATGATACTCATTAAAGAGATGGCACATCTAAGATAAATATTACAAAATACATAGGCAATTTTATTTTAACATGGATTTCACAGTCGTTAAAAGTTTGAATTTCAAGTGTAATTTGTAATGACAATGAAACAAGAACTTCAAAATGAGTTATAAAACAATTAGTTTTTATAAAATTCATGCCTTAAATGATTAATGAAACTTTTGATAGACTTGTTAAAGAATCCAATATATCGGATATCGCATTATAAAATATTGTATTGTATCGTATCGAATTTTTTTGTTCAATACACAGCCCTATATGTACTATAACTAATATAGCACAGAAGATGTATTTTTATAAAATTTACCAATTAATAGTGCCAATGGCTAATTATATGATCTATAGTTTGCTTTTTAAGGAACAAATAGTAAATTTTAGTCTTCAATATTTTTTTACAATAATATGATTATAAGTCTTATATAATATAAGATTTTTTTGTGTCCTACTACAGCATAGATACTTGTAAGGAATGGGAATTTTTCTGTCTTAGTCGTAAGATTTTTTTGTGAAAAGGGTCACTGATGATGATCTATAAGATGGTCCACTTGACTCGACGTTTGCAGAACCTGACAATACGATCATTAGATCAACAACATTGATTAAGCAAGCATAGGGGCTTGCTCCAGGTATGTAAAAAAAAATGTTTATTAAAGAAAACTATACACCAGCTAGACCCACTGTGTTCAGTAGTTGATATATGATTTTTTAAAAATATTTTCTTTTTTAAACCCAAACTGGCAAAAGGGAACAAGCAAGAAAATATGGATGAATGTACAGAGAATCGGGATCTTTTTGTTACTAAATTAGCACTTAAAATCATTTATAATTAATTATACAGTCCTTTATACCTTAATCAAAATTAAAAAGAATTTTTACCGGCGTAAATTTGAAATGAGAGTCATTTTCCTGCTTCTTCTTTTACGAAAGAGTTGCAATCAAGGGAGCGAACTTGTCTTCGCATAAAAATCCAAGTACCAAAAGTACTGTTAATTCAAACAATACATGTATGGGTTTGTGAGCACAAATGCGTCATTTACAGACAGTATTAAACATGACACGAATACCTTGCCAACAGGCAAGTTAAAAAACTATTACATTTCTATAAGTAAGACGTAAAGATGAGCAATATTTACCCCACCTCTTTTGATTTTTCGATGAAATCCTGGCTTACGATTTGTTGAAGTTTGTCACGTGAAGGGGGTGTATTACTTATACCTAGTCGCTTGAGAATCAATACATGGTCGATACGGAGTTATCGTTCTTTTGTAACGTTCGAACAACTCGAGTTCACGCGATTTGCCGAGTATCTGTTGACAATGTTACAGTTAACTAATGTAAGTAACGAAGATGGAACCTTTTTCTCCTTTTACTGAAATTCTTCAAAACTGTCAGTACGTTATTACAGCACGAAACACTTGCAAATCAACATTACGTCACACAACGTGACGTCATAATAGGCATTGTATGAGTGATGAAACATATATATAGTGAGAAAAACAATTTTACAAACCACAGACAATGCATAAATATTTTATCGGTGGGGTAAATTCGTTACATAGTTTTGTAGTGACAGGGTACGGGATGATACCTGGTTAGTAAATTCCATATCTGGCTCGGCTTCGCCTCGCCAGGTAAGAAATTTACTAACCAGGTATCATCCCGTACCCTGTCACTAAAAAACTATGTAACTAATAATACATGTGACAGACCATCCTCGCAAGCCAGGGGTCTTGAGTCAACACGTTGCCGTTGGACCCTTGGCATACTAGTATTTCATTCAATATTTGTGGGCTGACTGTAGCGAGGTCTTTCGGAAAAATTACAAATCTTGATTGTTTTTCTTATCTCTCAACCAATCACATTAAGCCATTCTATGATAAACAACTTGTAACACGTGCATTTGATGTGTCAACTGAATCCTTGTCTAAGTATTTACGAAAGCTTTAATTTGATTGGTGCTTCTCAATGAGAGAAGCAAGCCCACGATTATTGAAGGAAATATGCCAGGGGTCCAACGGCAATGTGTTGACTCAGGACCCCTGGCTTGCGAGGATGGTGACAGACATGGAAGGAAGATAAGAAAATATCCAAGGGCAATAACTCTGCTACTTCAGATCAATTTTCTTACATTCTAACCACATTTGTTACCAGTAAGGGATCCAGCGGAGGGGGGTGGGTAGGGTTAGGAGCCCCCCCCCCGATTTTCAGAGTTCTAAATTTAACTCCCACACCCTCTTAGGAATAAAGAATTTCATGTAAAGTTGGTAAGAATATATGTAGACAAAAGGTACTGTGAAGTGTCCCCCCTTCCCCACCAAGAAATAAGTTTTACATCTTTGATCTGGATCTCCCTGGGATTATGTAAATAAAACAACTTGAAATATATAATAAAATAGATGCTGTTATAAGACAGTAATACCCGCACTTAAGTGTTTGCTCCTAAATGTACCCTAGCTACCTTGTACCTGGGTAGTGAAGAAGCCACAAAAGTTATTCTATAATTTACATAAAATATGTATACATGTACATGTATCAAATTGAGCATAAAATGCACAGGTGAGGATATGACCATTGGCCTCTTATGTTAGTATTTCTATAATAAATTCATTACCAGTCTGAAAATAGATTTAAACGAAGTAAATTCTGATTTTGAAAAGGAGTTTCAGAAGATATTTTTCTGCGAAAAATAAAAACTTGTAAAAAAAAAAAAAAAAAAAAAAAAACAGCGCAAATTCGAACTTGACAACATCATTTTCCGACCCCATCTGGCCCCCAGGATGAAAATGTAAGAGGAGCTCTAGGAAACAGGTTTTTGTAAAATAAAAAAAAATACTCCCATTTGGCCCCCCGAGTGAAAATGAAAATTCCGAAACCTTATTGCACATATAAAAGACACCACCAATTACCTTCCAAAAGATGATTTGGCTACTGGGGAAAATGTGAAAGAAGTTCTGGAACCAGGTTTCTGCAACTCGTTTTGCGACCCCATGTGACCCCCTGGATAAAAATGAAAATCCCAAAACCTTGTTGCTCATCTACGGGACACCCACCCTCAATTATTCCTAAAGATCATTTGGCTGCTACGTAAATTGTTAGAGGAGTTCTGGGAACAAGTTTTTTTTTTTTTTTGTTTGTTTTTTTTTTAAGAAAAAACATCGATTTCGACCCCCATTCGACCTCTGGAGTGAAAATGAAAATCTTTCAAAAGATGATAATTTTCTATTGCATAAAATGTAAGAGGAGTTTTGGGAACAAGGCGTTTTTTTCTTTGAAGGAAAAAACGACATTTTTCACCCCCAAATCCCCCCCCCCCCCCAATGAAAATTGTGAAACCTTACTGTGCATTTGCAAATACCGCCAATCAACGTCCAAAAGATCATATGGCTACTGTGTAAATTATAGGAGAAGTTCTAGGAACCAGGTTTTTTCTTTCTTCTTTTTTTTTAAAGAAAAAAGGTGTTTTCGACCCCCAATTGGCTCCTAGGGTGAAAATGAAAATTTCGAAACCTTATTGCACATCTACAGGAGTCCAGCAAGTATTCCAAAAGATGATATTGCTATTGTGTAAAATGTACGAGGAGTTCTGGGAACCATTTTTTTGGTAGGAAAACCCCCCCGTCATTTTTGCCCCCGTTTGGTCCCAAGGGTTTAAAATTGAAAATCCCAAAACCTTATTGCACATCTACAGGACACTGCCTTTCATATTTTAAAAGATGAATTGGTTACTGCTTTAAATAAAAGAGAAGTTGGAGGAAGAAGAAAGTGTAATTGACGGTCAGACGGACAAGGATAACGACAATTTACCCGAACTTTCTTTACAAAATGATCGCCCGCGTGGCGCAGTAGTTAGAGCGTCTGCATTAGAGTCGCGGAGTAAGGAGTTTATCCTTACGTCGCGGGTTCGAATCCCACTGCGGGACGTGGAGACCGGTCCTTCGGATGAGACCGTATAAACCGAGGTCCCGTGTCGCAGTAGGTGTTGGCACGAAAAAGATCCCTCACTGCTCAATGGTCCTGAGTGCCGAGTATAGGTCAAAATTTGTAACCCTCCACCGGCAAGTGGTGGCGTCTCCATATATGAGTGAAAAATTCTCGAGAGGGACGTTAAACAACAAACAATCAATCAATCTTTACAAAATACGGGTATAAAAAATAAACATCGCACGGAAGACAACTATAGTTAAGCTTTTGCACTATTTCACAGAGTTTATATTCATGGCGATCGAGTAGTAAAAACATGAATGTTTTGCATAATCTAGGAATTGTATTCGGGGTTCAAACAGTTGTTCACTTCAGCGAAGGAAAAGTTACCTCTTAGACAGCTTTTAACTTTATCAGTCAACGGTATACGATATACAGCGTATATGAGGCATAAAAGTAAATTAATTTTCTTAACTATTTCTTGTTATCTTCTTGCAAGTGAAAACTGTGTGATAAAGACTGTGGCAAACCCTTTTACTATTTATTCAAAAAAGAGACGTCTCTTTAATATATATAGAGAGATATCTCTTTAACTCGGAACGAGGTAAAAGAGATATCTCTCTAAGTGAAAGAGATATCATTTTAACGTTAAGAGATATCTGTATTAGCGAAAGAGATATCTTTCAAAGAGAAAGAGATATCTCTCTAAGTGAAAGATATCTATCTAAGTGAAAGAGATATATCTGTTTTACATATATGTCTTTGTAAAGAGATTTCTCTTTTTTTAAAGAAATATCTCTATTTTTAAGAGACATCTCTTTGAAATAAGAGATATCTTCTGTAATTTGAAGAGATATCTTATTTTATCTTAGTAAAAGAGCTTGCCGTAGAAGCCACTACATATACATGTATATGTATTTTGTTTCTAGTACTTGTATTTTATTCAACAGAAATTGTTGAAACTCAACAGCTATAGCCTACATGTACATCTTATGTAAGTTTAGAATATTTATAACACTGCTTAGTTTACTTTCTACATCTTGAGTATCTATGACATTTTATCAATCTACATGTATAGTTGTTTTATATCAGAGGTTCTGACCAAATTTTTTTTTCAACCTTATACCTGAACTCCAGACCCAGGGACCGTAAAATTTACAAGTTAGATAGAGGCACCCTTGCCAGTCATAATCATGCACTAAGTTTGTCTGCTAAAAGCCTTTTATGAACAAGAGGCCCATGGGCCACAAAGCTCACCTGAGTAACTTTGGCCCTGCTGTTCTTCACCAGATTTCCTCCCTTGTAATAATTATTGTGGCCCCACCCTACCCTCGGGGGGTTATAATTTGAATAATTTAGAATATTACTACATCAGGATGCTTCCATATAAATTTCAAATTTTCTGGCCGCGTGGTTATTAAGAAGAAGATTTTTAAAGATTGTTTTTTTATATTTCAATGTAAAATGTATCCCAACCCTCCCCCTGGGGGCCATGATATAATCAAGAATCTACACTACCCCAGGAAACTTCCACATAATTTTAACTTTTCTGGCCCAGTGGTACATGAGAAGATTTTTAAATATTTTCCCTATACATTTCAATGTAAAACTTAGATTCCCTATTGTAGCCCCACCCTACCCGAGGGGGGGGGGGCATGATTTAAATAATTTAGAATCTACACTACCTCAGGAGACATCCACATAAGTTTTAGGTTTTCTGGCTCAGTGTTTCTTGAAAAGAAGATTTTTAAATATTTTACCTATATATTTCCATGTAAAATTTTGATTCCCTATTGTGGCCCCATCCAAGCCCTGGGGGCCATGATTTGAACTATACATTACCTCAGGAAGCTTTCACCTAAGTTTCAGCTTTTCTGGCCCAGTGGTTCTTGAGAACAAGATTTTTAATGAACCAACCCTATTTTTGTCTTTTTTTATCATCTCCCCTTGGAAGGGGGCTTGGCCCTCAGTTTTAACAATTTAAACTCCCCTTCACCCAAGGGTGGTTTGTACGAACTTTGTTTAAAATTGGCCCAGTTGTTCTTGAGAAGAAATTGAAAATGTGAAAAGTTTACAGAAGGACGAGTGACAATGAGTGATAACGAAAGCTCACTTGAGCTTTCAGCTCAGGTGAGCTAAAACGCTATTTTTGGTAAAGTGCTAAATGCTCTTCCTTACCATGAATTCAGTTTTACTTCAAGGTCTGATGTGTAGAATAAGATAATTTTTTTAATATTTGAGTATTTTTAGAAAATGTTACCCCACCCCTAAGGTCCCAGGGACCAAGCACTTGTTTTGGTAATAATTTTTTTAACCCATATAGCATAATAATTATTATACTATGGGTTAAAAAATTTATTACCGAAACAAGTGCCTGTGTCCCAGAGGTATAATGATAACAAAAATCACAATTTTTGTTTAACTTGTCCCTATAAACCTTCACGAAAAAATTAGATTGACCAAATAATATTTAAGAAAAAGTTAAAAATATTCAATTGTTAACAACATGAACGATGCAAGACCAATCGTGACTCAGGTGGCCTTAAAGGGGCATAAGGAAATTACGTCAAAAGTTTCTAACTTACATGTAAGTCCACATTTTTTACTTTATTACTTTACATGGTAATGTATAAACAATGTAAAGAAAAAAAACTGTGTCGGCACGTATTGTCGTCGGTGATACATGTATTACCAAACCCCGAGCCCATTATATCATCTGCGCCAAATGCCTTTTGTAGAAATTTCACTGCAGTAAAATTAATTGTGAGTTAGATGGCCACAAAGTATTTTACTTCAGTAAGGAAGTAAATGATTTTTACTAGATTAAAAATAATTTTAGTAAAAATAATTGTGAGTAGCAATAGCCAGTTTTATTTTTACTGCAGTAAAGGAATTGTGAGTAGCATGTCCAACCATACCCAGCAAGTACCTGGTAACCCCATAAAATCATGACTGGGTTGTCTTTCATTGGCAGTTTGTGTAAATCCTTTTATTCCCATTGCAAGTGCATGTTTTGAAATATTCTAAATATGTAAACCCACATCAACCTTTCCCCACAGAAAATTTTCCCCATCTTGGAAAGTTTTCTGTATAGGATAGAATGGTTAGGAACTGTATATTTCTCTGCAGTCGGTTTATGTATATAATTAAACGTTATATATTACATACTCGTTCTCAGCTTGATTTGAAGGTAAGGGGGTTCATTTTACATGTGTCAAACAAAGCTTTCACTCCATTCAAGAAAAAGATTGCTACTGTTACATGTTCGTTACATATTTTCATGTATGAATACATAATTATACATCATGCATACAAATGTGTAAATAGTAATTAAGCGGACTATTAAATTTTTTACTGCTTTTTACATATTAATTTATTTTTTGGATCTATAATTAGCAATTTTACAGTATATCATCAGCATGACTTTTTTTTTTTTTACATACCTTTGAGGATTTAATGAAAACGTATATGCTTGTATTGTTATAAAACCACAGTTGTTTATAACCCCAAAACTAGTTGGCAAAATATATCGGTTTTTGTTTTTAAAAAATTGAGAAAGTGATATATTAAGGTGCTCCGTTCCTCGGGTTCTGAAAATCTACAGTGTTAAGTAATTGAAAATACTCACAAGTGTTACTGAATTCACAAAGTAATGTGAATACATGTATACCCATGTTATTTCATCCAATTTAAGTTCATCATTATAGTTAATCTTATTATATAGGGGAAATTCTCAAATCTCGAAGAAAAGATTTTCAGGAAACGTGAATAAAAGCACCAATTTTGCAATTTTTAATTGACGGCTGATCAACAAGAATAATTAAGGATTTAAAAAAAAAGTATCCAGGCATTCGAAAAAAACTGTTTTATGCAGCATTTCAGTTCTTCATCAACTGTTACATAGTGTAAAAAGTTTGTGTTATCATTGCAGGATATCACAGATCACTTCCGCGATTTTATTTCATGTTAATAAACATTGGTATTTAATTAAGGCAGGACTGATGGAAATTCGATTTCTCTAAAATGAAAAAAAAATTAATGGGGTAAAAATGTCTTCTTTAAACTAGATCACATCTAAGACTTCAAGAAATCTTGAAACATATTAAGATGCATGAAAGGAAAGGTTTTGCACAAAAAGTAAAATTTCATGCTTCATTTTGAGACTTATTCAATTAAATAATAATTTTAAGAGTTATTTTTCCTGGCTGAGGAGAGGATATCCTTAAGGTTTGGTGCCAGCCAATTACATGATTTTTTTCGCAATTTTTTTTTTCACATGGAGTTCCGAAAATACCCTCACTTTTTTGCTTAGTTGAGTGGACTTATGACATTGTGTTAGTGAACGGTATTCTATACTAAAATCAAGATCAGGAAACAGGATTAAAACTTTTTATTTATTAAATTTGTTTATTGTATAAACACAAGCATGATACAGTTACTATCAGCATGACGGTTGAAAGAAAATAAACGAATAAATAAGCAAGTGAAATATATTCATTAAGCAAAAATTTCCATCCTAAACACATGGTCATACCTCATTACCATTTTTTAATCGAAATATGTTCTCCGACAGTATGTACCATCTGCTCAGAGTATTAATAAAAACTTCTTAATCATAATATATATGATTATTATATATACCTGGTGCTTTAATTAAGAATCTGTGGCTGATAAGAGGGCTGTGATATACACATAGTAATACAGCATCTGGAACCTTATGTAATAGTTTATATGCCTTTCCGCAAGAGCTTTCGTGTTTCGCGTAATATCCCCTTGGTATAATCAGATGTGAATTTTGTTAATGCGTATAATTACAGCAAGAGTGCAACTGGGAGTTATATAAAAAGAAAACGCTTTTTCATTCAGACTAGATGTGTTGCTTTTATGTGATGGTTGGGTAACAGGGTTACGAAAAGGGGTCAAGAAGAGCGGTTAGTAAAGTAATCAAGAGGATTCTAAAATTAAAAAGGAAATTGGATACAAGAAAGCAATGCTTTCTTTTTTTAATTAAGTAAAAGTAAAACATATGTGTAAAGACTGCAATGTATCTGACATTGAAAAAACAGATTGTAATATATTTATATTAACGAATATATTTTAAAATGAAGATTAGCATTACACAGACTGCGTTTAACATGTTGAAATGAAAAATATTTTGATTAACTTAATTTAAGAAATTATCTTTTGCTACTGATTAAATTGAAATTGATCTTACCTCAAATAAATAACCCCCTTTTCCCCTTTGAAAATGATTGTTTTAGGAGCATAAATTAACATTTGCTTCAACACGGAGCTAGTGATATTCATGCAATTAATGTATTGAAATATAATATATTCTCCAGTTCATTATGCATGTACATAATTAGAATAATTACAAAAGGCATAAGATGTGGCATGTTTATCCCCTAGAATATACATATTATACTGCTTAATGCATAATTCATGTATAATGGCTAAAACGTATTGGATTCGGTTTCTTTTGCTCCTCAAAATCGATATATTGTTCTGACTAATCAAGTGTGAGAAGCGCGTTTTCCCATGTTTCTGCTCAGCCCGATTGAGGCTGTTTGTTTTTGACATATTTCGCTATCATTGCGTAGAAATCTGATGACAGAGTAGTGGGTGTTATTCCGAGAGAAAAATTAGAATATTCATCAGCAATCATACATCCAAGCAATTGAGTACTTATTCCATAAATTTACACTCGGTGTGGCCGAATGCTGCTTACATAAAGAGGAAATGGATTATAGAAGGAAACGTACTCTGCGAGTGGCATTTGAAGACAATGTGATTCAAACTTTGAACAGTTGAATGCTTGTGCTCTCACGACAAAGGAGATGAATTGATGAATTCGTATCGATTGGCATATTTTACATCCATGGCACAAGAATTTCAGTCGCTCATGACGGTGATACGGTGTCTCCAGTCAAAACATTCGAAATAATACCAATTGAATTTTACTCTAGCGTGTATCAGCTTGAAAACTTGAATCAATAAATTTCAGGGATGTTAAGAATGGGATGCAATTGCTACTTTGTGTGTTTTGAAATGTTCCTTTAAAATCTTGATAAAAGCATGTTTTCAAAGACGGTATTAACTGAGATACTGCGACTTGAATTACGATTAGAAAGGAACTCTCCAGATAATTAGTGTACTAATTTTATGTGTGTTCTATATTAGCCAAATGTCGGATTCTTAAAGAAAGCTTTAAATAATTATATCGGAATTCATTTAATGGAATATGTCGACAATAAAAAGGGCCTACATGGAAATATCAAACGGAATTCGTGGTTTGCGATTCAGGAGCGACCAGCAATCACAACAGACCAGCAACCAAAGTCCCCAGGGTGCCCGAGAGGGCCAATTGACCCAGAGGTTTAATGTGAACGGCAGCGGGGCCATGAATGTGCGAATCGTACGGTCCCCCAAGCCGCTTATCGCAAGAAAAATTCGGAGCTTATTCAGCAAGAGCCAGCCGGACACTATCTTGGAACTATTCACAGACGAGCGTTTTCTGGCGAAGTTCTTTAGCTATTTTTCTCCCGAAGAACGAGGGACGTTGTGTCAGGTATGCAGACTGTGGAAAAACGTGTTGTATCATCCCAAATTCTGGGTAGATGTAACCCCCATTATTGTTTGCCGTGAGCTTAGCCAGAAGGATGACCAGAGAAGCAAGTTTTATGAGAGTCTTCAACAAAGGGGATTTGACACCGTGTGTCTCTTTGGCGCCACTGACAACGATGTTTCAGATTTTGTTGCTCATTTTCAAACGTACAAGAAACAAATAAAAGCCATAAGTTTACGCTGTTCAAATGTGACTGATACGGGTATAGAGATTTTATTTAAGAAACTGCCTTGTTTGTACAAAGTTGAACTTTCAGGTTGTAACGAAATCACAGAGACTGGTTTATGGTCATGCTTGAACCCTAAAATTGTGTCTTTGACAATAAGTGATTGCATCAATGTTGCAGACGATACAGTGGGGGCCATTGCACAGCTACTTCCGTCTCTTTTTGAACTAAATCTGCAGGCCTATCACGTGACTGATGCCTCTTTGGCCTTCTTTAGCGCCAAACAGGGATATATTTTGTCAATTTTAAGACTACATTCCTGCTGGGAGATCACGAATCATGGCATTGTCAATATTGTACATTCCTTGCCCAACCTGACTGTGCTGAGCATGTCGGGTTGTAGCAAAATAACTGACGATGGAGTCGAACTCATCGCTGAAAATCTCAGAAAACTCCGATCCCTAGACCTCTCATGGTGTCCACGTATCACTGATGCTTCGTTAGAGTACATTGCTTGTGATCTGAGCCAACTGGAAGAACTCATTCTTGACAGGTATACATTCTAAATCATTCAAAGATTGAATACCTGCACCTGTAAATATATATGTTGAAGGGTGTTACTCCTCAAGTACTTGCATCTCTTGACATCTACAAAAATAAAGTACTTCTGACCCAATTTATTTACTTTTTGCAAGGACCTTAGGTATCTTCATATAAATGTGGGATAAAACTTAAAATCAGACTTATTTTCTATTGTATATTTATTAGACAATTAGATTAGTAAGATTTTTGAAATTTAAAATTTAAAAACACGAAAAAAGAAACCTTAATTCTTAGAAATACTATAAAACAGCAGTCAATTTAAACTTTGTATCTATTGTCAATAATGATAATTAAAAGTAAGATTGAAAATAGACACGTTTTCATCCGAAAAAAAAACCTAACGGTAAAAATTCCATTATCAGTGCAGTGTTTTAAAGACGAACCCAAATTTCTGTGGAATTAAGCATATGCATAAAACATTGGTTTATACAATTTTTTAAGGCTTCTGATTTATCTAAAATAATTCACAGGAAGTGTGTTTCTCAGAACAAAATTTATGGGAGAATCCTTAGTTTATAATCGGAAGTGCAAACAAAAATAACTTGTCAATACGTCAAATAAATGTCAGAAAATCAATAAGCTACAGATAATCATATTTTTCATCTGTTCAGCGCTTCTTAAAATATATTTATTGACTCTAAATCAAATATTTATTAGAGGATGGTGCTGAAATCGATTAGATTTTGTTTTATTATTAAAATCCCTATAACTAAATGAAGATGAAAGAGGAAATTCATCGACTAAAATACAACTTCTGCTGGTAAAAAGGCAAGATCAATACCATATATGATATTTTATGTTTGCAAATCATGCGTTATTGATGTTCGTCTGACCAAAAATAGACAGATGTCGGTTTTATCAATGAGAGGTCCCTTTCCCTCTAATCAAAGTGTTTCGACCTCGTTATGTATTGACTATTGGGTATGACTCATGGCTAGCTTTAAACTTGGCCTCAACTTTAATAATGAACCTTATCGATTTTTTTTCTTCGTACTTAAGAGCAAGAAATATAAAATCTCGAAAAAATGTGGAAAAATTTTTTTTTAAGTGTTGAAATGAAAAAGAGATAAAGTACCTCTGGTTTATTCCACAAATCTCTTATCTGAATAGTGCATACGCCGGAGTTGAGATGCAATGACCCCATTCAAAGAAAACAGGTGATACCGAGATGTTACACAAACTATGTATATTTTCAACCGTATGTAAACGATGAATATAGGTACAGGGTTCTTAAAATACCCACAGAAGGTGTAAATATGATAACACAGGTATGACAAGCTTCTAGCAGGGGTGCGTACAGGCATAAACAAACTGGAATGCATGCTTATGGATACAAGTGAGTGAGAGACGTTCAAAATATGCATAAAAATTATTTTCTTTAGTCTAAGCGTTGGCGAGCTATCATGTCTCGTTTTTTTTGATAGGAATTAGGAAGTAAAAAAAAGAGCACTTTTCCTCCACAGCAAAATGCAGAAAATAAAGTGTTTTGGGGCATTTTTGTCATGGTTAATTATAACAAGTTCAACGTTTGACGCACATGAAAAACTAAAAGCTGAAAAAAAACGTAAAGTTAAGCAATCCTACTGAGAGGATGGAAATGCATGTATATGCTCAGTCAAAGAAATATATTTAAATTGCCCTGTTTAAATGAAGTAGTTATTTGACTTTAAAACAGCTTTTTAACAAGAGACAAATAGAAAAAAGGAATCTTATATCATTACGACAAAAGACAAATATTTCCTTAAAATACCAGAGGCAAATGCAACACATATGTTTGTAAGTTTTACAGTTTCTGGAATGATCGACAGGGATTTGATTTCATTCTAATTTATGATAGGAGAAAAAATAAATAATCAGCACTTGAAATATAAAATCTGAACATGAATCAGGTGGAACTAAAAGATATTTGGTGCTTTCGCGATGAATCAAGCAAATATAAATAACATGAAAAAACTAGAAGAATAACTGAATGAAGACGCTTTTGTATACATGCACTGCGCAGATCAATCGATGGTATCTATCTGTTAATTCTATGTGAAATGAAAAAATACTGCTTCGATTTTTTTAAGCCTAAAAAATTCAGTGATGGTTTCATTCGACTTTTAGGAGAATCCCTTGTTTTGATCAGATACGGTAGTAATAGGCTCGAGGTAGCAAGTTGCTTGAGTATGATAGTGTGCAATTCAATTAAGATCCCGAACTTTTGAATTTGGTACTGTATGAATTATAAATGAAGTAACGAGTTTTAATTTACATCAACCTGTATGTTTTTTTTAAATTCCGGAGAAATTTAGTGTACACATGTAGTGTGTACTATGATCCCTTTATCGCCAGTTCGATAGCTCCTGTATTTTACAAATAACTATTTATAAAATTTAGCCATGCAAATTAAATATTCATGAATCATAATTATTTAGATTAAAAAAGAAGCATATTTTTAGGGATATTAAAAGTATACCCCAACAGAAACCAGGGGGTTGTGCCCCCCTCCCCGAATAATTTTGCCTATATATAGTATACTATAGAAAACATCGCTTCTTTATACTTGTGCCTCCTCAATAATAATGTCTGATGACCTTCTTTGCTTGGTAGTGCCCTCCCCCAACTGAAAATGTTAGGTTGTGCCCCCCTCCCCCCAAACAGAAGTTGCTTCGTATGGGCCTGCAAGTTGAATTCGAAACTGCTTAATAACAGCAATATTATACCACGTCTCAATATCTCATTCTATCTTCTAATCATTTACATAGGTATTGATTACACATGTATCTAATGAATTTAATATACCGATCTTTGCCCTTAGAAACATCACCATTTTTTCAATCGTCTGTTTTGTCAGACCACGGATGTCAAGTTACTTCCCTTTTTTGACAGTATGGTGTTTTGATGTAAAATGTGTTTCTGAAAATAACAATTTAATTTTATTTGATTAATAGGTGCTCTCGAATTACGGATATTGGTGTCGGGTACCTGTCCACAATGACGTCATTACGTCGCTTATTCTTACGTTGGTGTACACAGATTCGAGATTTCAGCCTAAAGCACATTTATTCCATGAGAAATCTTCGCGTGCTGTCTCTTGCAGGTAAATAAGAATCATTAACACATCTTACGTTGGTGGGAAAAACAACGCTTTAATCAAGATAAAGTTGCCTTACCATTCTGTTTTATCACTTGGTTATTTATCACACGTTTTAGCCATTATCCAGTGGAAATCAGTCATTAAAATATTTTTAATATACTCTTTTGACCCAGAAAGTTCCTTTTCTTCAAGACAACTATCATATTAAACAGTTAAATGAGGGTATAATATATTTTACTTGATTAACACTTAGAATCTGAAGTAAAGTGAATGTACATGAAAATGTATTTCGAGAACACACCTAATTTACATTATAGTCTCATGGCGCACCTTTTGTCTGTTATTTTGAAATGTGAAAATGGTCTGACACAAAGTTCATGCACATGTAGTTTAACGAACTGTGTATAATCTATTAAGTAAGCGACAATTTTAAGAAATAAAATTTTTAGAGACTTAAGAAATGACTCTTGTATTGAATTGAATTTTTGATATTGCATTGTGTTACAAAACATTCAAATTGAATAACGCGTCTTAGCATTTGTTTTCTCGACTCATGAAATGCAAATTTTGAAAGAAAGAAACTACCGTGGAGTGTATACATTCCAAATTATAACACTTGCTCATCTTTTCGTAAAGAAAACAACCACGGTAATGTACCCCCTACTGATCCTCAGGCATGTATCGTATACCTTAACAAATCTGTTACGTATTATATTATAAACTATAGATTACATAGTTCCGACATACCGTGCATATTACTGTCTGACTCCTAGCACTCGAAAGCCTAGGAAATGATATCACCATTACAGTCCCACATACCGGGTAACGTGAGCCATTTTGCAAAAAAGCTTAAATTGCTGTGGAAGAAAGTCGGAATTATTAATATTGCTTGTGACAATAACACTTAGGTGTTGCAATGGATCCACACGTGTTCGAAATTCCACAATCTAAACAATCATTCTAAAACAGTTCCTTGTTTAGTTATAAAGTGTCTAATACGCGTTTAAATAAAATACAATCATGTACGACTGATGTCTTCAGTGTTGTAATTAAAGCACAAGTTTCTTTAATTTGTTAAACAATATCTAGTTCTATATTTTATTCCGAGATGAAAAAAAAAGTTTCATTCTCAGTACATGCATGTAATATATTGCATTTTTTTCTATTAAGGATGTACTCTGGTGTCTGGACAAGGATTGTGTGGGTTGACACAGTTACATAACTTAGATGAATTAGAGTTGACCAACTGTCCAAGTGCATCTCGAGAAGTTTGCCTTTACCTTCGAGAAAACATGACACACTGTCTTGTGGTGGACTAAGTGATATCCCTTGCTCCCGAAAATCACATCGTTGCAGGTTTAAAACGCCGATGGGTAAACTGCTCCAGGATACTCACTCACCTAGCTTGAATTTAATGGAATTGTGAATGATGAAGACCCATAAAAACGTCTCAAAGGGTCACCTGACTATCATCTTCAGAAATCACGTGATCACAGTATGGGTTTCCGGATTACAGATTCTGAGATTACATATCTTTGTTTTTCCTCTTTTGTAACTAAAACATCGACAACACTGTTTTTTTATGCTAAAATTCCGTATTTGAATTTTTAAACTTTCTTATTTCATATTTATTTTAAGAATATTTCCAGTTTAATTCAGCTTTATTCCCTTTTGACAGACCAATTTGTACAGAATGCTTGTTATCACTGAAAATAAATGATGAAAAAAAAATTTTGAATGTTGTTTCTCTGCGGGGGAAGATGATAATTTGTTTAGAGATAAGGGGGATCGTTCACGTTCTTTACTAGTTCACACCGTGCGGTATGCCGACCCTACTGAGAGGAATCACTGGTGTGACCCTCTAACACTTTATTGTTATTTATATTATCACAAGTATATCGCGCCTTCAGAAAACAGATGAATTCTTGGATTGATAATCGCAAGAGATAGAAAGAAATATTTACAAAAAATGAATCACGGTGTTTTGATTAAAGGCACTTCTGTAAAGTCTGTTCTGCGGAAAGATGGTGAATGTTTGACTGTAAATGATTTACCAATTACAATTTTTAATCGCGATTGTATATCCTCTATGTAGATACTGTGGTAACATAACAAGGATATTCTTGGTTTTTCTTGTAGGATGTGAAGAAGAGATGTCGTAAAATTTGTAAATGTCAAAAACTGTTTTGTCACTTTAAGGTTCATTGACCTCTGATAAGAGAGATAACTCTCACTGGGATAAGTTTTGCCTGGCAAGTTATGCTGAAATTATGTTCATTTAAATCATATATTAGATTTCTTTTGGAAAATTATTAGCATTAAAGCAAAATTTTTCATGAGTGATGAGGGTGTGATGAACCTTAAAATATCTATATTGGAAGAGACCCCCCAAAAAAGCCAAACAAATCAAACCATGCATTTATCTTTATGATTTAGGCCATTCCAAGTTTTTTCTATGTTTAGCGTCCGCGTGCGCCTTGGTTTTTGACACCCCATGACAGAAAACAAAAACAGAATCAGGAGCCAATTTTTTTTTTATTTTGGTCAATTTTTTAAATTTCTGCCGATCTCTCTAAATTATTTGTATATAATATGACATAATTGGAAATTTTATGTATGTAATACCTCGATTTTGCTGAAGAAAATAAGTTTCTACATGAAAAATAGATTAATGAAATCAAATCCATTGAATTACGTCATTTTTATGACTATAAAGTCTGTGTTTTATTTTTTGGCTTGTGTGTTTTTTGCGAATAGGTAGCTAGGTTTTTGAAAGATGGGTGGAAGCTAAACAGAGAAAAAACTTGGAATGGCCTTATTTAGAGAAAGTGAATGATGAAGCCAGGTTAAATGGTATAGTTTTGTTGCAGAACGGTGTTTTTGTTTTTTGTTTTTGTGTGTTTGTGTCTTTTTTTTTTTTTTTAAATATAAAATTTGTTTTCTATTTTGTATGCGTGAATTTTAGCTATTCAAAGACGGCCAAAAAATTCTCGGACAAACAAAAGTGAATTCGAATAAACTTCTTTGAAACTCTGAATCTTGCGTACTGCATGCGTCAAATTGGTTAGTACTTATTACACTTACAAAAGGCCTGTATTTGACATATTTCTTAACAGATCACCACCAGCCTACGCATAAGTAAAATGTTCAAGGGGAATAAACAATCTATCCGACAATTGCATTATAACAACCATTGTCCCTGAAGAAGGAAACAAACCAAGTGCTCCGGGGTGTAATTTCCTTTTCAGATACTGCCTTAATTCATATGCTGGAGAATGGGCGTCCAAGGATAATAGAGATCAATTTCCATTCATTGATATTGATAGCACTTTTCGTGTTTGTATTTATCTATTTAACTTCATCAGAATGAGTGCGTTGTGACTTGTTTCATTAAACTGATCACAATTTATAGTTTGGGCATGCCTGACACCTAGAAGATACCGTATTTTTTTTTAAAGCAAGTTCAAAAAAATTTAGATTCTGTAGATCATCGACCATTTTGCATCCCCTTGAAATAGGGCAGTGGGTTTAGTCGGCTGCTGGAGGGGATGGTCTATCTGTGATTGTGTTAGAAAGTGCACATGGGGAAAATGATTTTTTTGTTTGTTGATTCGCTACAATAATTCTTTAATAATAACATATATAAAGTTAAGAAGAAATAGTCTAAAAATTTCTTAAACTAAGTGTTAATTGTTGTTATTATATATCAATTTTATTTTCATTTCTCCCCAGATATTTGTTTATTATGATTTTATAAAAAGGGGTTTCTAAAAATACTCCCCAACATGGGAGTGTGTAAGATATGACGCTAATCGTTAGGAGTTTCCGAATATAATTTTTTTTGTTTTGTTTTGTTTTGTTTATTTTTGTTTTTGTTGTTATTGATGTCAATTGCATATGCATATTTATAGATATGACATACAAAAATATATCGTTTATGAATATAATAAACAATACAAAAATTCTATAAAAGTGACGAGAGAGAGAGAGAGAGAGAGAGAGAGAGAGAGAGAGATGAGAGAGGAATATCTAGTTAGTTATAGAGCTGGTAAGACTATGTCCAAGAATTGCAAGATGCCTTTAAATGCCTAGGGTCATACAAGTAAAACCCAATCTTTCCATTTATTTTTAAACTCATTAACTTAATTACTTTTTTGTTGCACTATATTTCCTTGTAGATAACAATAATTTTTGTTATGATTATGCTTCAGATGTGAATAACACAGCGATAACCCCCTCCCCTTACATTTCGCATTTATTGCGAAGTCCATCAACACAGTCTTCAGTTTCACGATTATACATTCCTTTATCTCTGATTTTTCCTATCAGTGAATTAATTTATTTTGATTAACAAATTTATTGAAAATTAAAGTAGTGCCATTTTTGGTTATCCGATTAAATGTTTAGATATTTTTAAACTTTGAAATAAAAAATTTTCATATTAAAAATTCATGAGTGTTTAACTTGGACTTTCTTTTTTCTTGCGGAAATAACTTCAAAAATGTTAAATAAAAAATGCGATCGATCAATTTTAACTTGTATATAAATGATGTCTTGTTTGTTTGTGAATTAGCGCACGATAGGCATGCAGCGTGAAAGACGCTGAAATATATTTACATTTGCAAATGCTTTCTTTTATATAACACTACTGAAAGCAACGCGTATCTATATCCGTATAAACACGGGTTCCTCGCGTCATAAACGTTCGACGTAATTTCTCAGTGACGTCATAAAGGGTTGACGCGCAATCAGAGGATCAAACACGTGGCGTTGAGTTTGAAAAAATAAAACATTTCACGAGTTAAAGATTATAATCAGGCTAATATATAATATGAATAAGTCACAAATGTAAATATAAGTAATAAGGTATCATTTTAAAACATCTATCGGAATATAAATACGGGTTGGTACGGTACAGTATTGAAATATCGTTTACTGTAAACTTTTTTGAATCGCGTGCGCTATATTTCCTCGAGTTTGGCTCCTTCTTATAATCGCGAATATTTCTCGCCGCGAATCAGTTTCCTAATAGTGTATTAATATATATAGAACCTTTCGGTTAATAATCGTCTTGGATGAATTTTAAACCGTAATAAAATGTTATCAATAATAGAAGGTGTACAGTATTTTCAAATATATTACCAGTAATATTCAGTAGTTCTTTTTGGGCATGGTTAATAGATAATCATTAATTCTTTCTATGTGTTTCAGTAGTCAAGCTTCTGTTTTTCGAGTTATCAACAGTCAGTTTAAAACATCACATATCTGATCATTACAAAATTTCAAACAAGTCGAGACTAGAACAAAAAATTAAAAAGGCTTCTTGAAAAACCCACATGACGAATTGGAGGTAAAAAATACCCCTATAATCCTTATTGAGCAATCTAATAAGAGCCAAAGACTAAAAAAATCGATAGATGTAATAAACACTTCTCCGAATTGAGAATGGTTACTATTTTTTCTTGCAATTAATAGTGCTAAAAGATAACATTTTGTTAAAGATATTATGACCAGCAATGTTCTTTAAGCGTAGAGAGATTCTTAAAACATATTTACCATGCCGAGCGAAGAAAATCAGCAATGATTAGAGAACACTTTTAATCATATACCATTGAAGATGGCGTTTCTCAATTTCTGTTGAATACAACTTAAATCTGGAGAAAAGGTCCTTCCTATTGTGAGGTATGGATTTTATAGCTCGTTACATAAAATAGGGGTATACATGTATGCACGAAAACCTTAAATTTAGCGTACCATCGAAATATTTTTTCAACGCAAAAATAAAGTTCTTGTGAATAATAATGGGGAATTAATTTCTTACTTTTCGTAGATATATGAAAACTGTATCTCGCAAATAAATATCTCTCACTGTCTCGCCAAACTAAGTGATTACGGGTTATAATGAGATTCCCTTTCTCCCTGTGTCATTTTTTTTTTCATTATTTCATGTGCACAAGTTCTTCTAGTCTGTTAATCAAAATATATTAAACCAACGCACTTTACAAACCATAAAGTACGATAGACATTTCTTTTCCCAAGGTTATAAAATATTAGTGATGATGAAGAAAAAGGTATCATTTTACATCACCTACTGAGTATTCGATTACGAGCTATTCATCAGACTTTTATTTATATTTTATACCAATGGGTGTTCGCTACTGGGTTTACAACTTTACCTTTAGGGTTAAACAAATAACAATAGATATTTGCTCTCTATCATTTTCACCTTCATTTTATTGAATTATACAAAAGTATTTTTTCCTGCGCAGTAATGTAAAGTTTTAAAAATAGTTAATTTTAACTTACTCACCAGCAAGACAAAAAACCGACATGGATTACTTGTCTTTGTATTTTCACAGTGAAATATTTAGGGAGTTCATCCTTCTTTGTCTATTTCACTCAATGTAAAAGTTCAGAGAATAAAAAAAAATGGTGCCGGATATATGTCCTTTTGCCCCCTTTAAAAAAAATGATATGAAGTGCTGTGGTATCTTTCCCAGCCAGGGGTGTTCGGTCCGATCTATTCGCCGACCTAAAACTCTTGGCTATCGAGGAATGATCATGCTGTTGCTGGGGTCAACTAAGGTGATTTATTTGTGAAATATGAAGATAACGAGAAGTAATCAAGCTTAAAAGTCCACTGAAACAATACAAATTTGGAGCAGAACAAACATGGGCCTCCAAAAACATCAGAGGTGGGATCAGGTGCCATGAAGGAGTAAGCCCCCCCTG